TGAGATGAAGAAAGACGGTGTGGACCCCTTATAGTTTCTTGCTTGTTTTGCTAAACATCTTGTGGTCTTTTTGTATGCTTTCATATTCCTTTGGTAATATATATTTTGTAACCTATGATGGCCAAGAAATCAAATGTCCAAGATGGTGTACCTCTCTTGCATACTTGAACGTCAAAATAATCTGGAGAGTCGACTGTCACGGGGCTAGTTTTCTTACACTCGAACAACTAGACACCGTGCGGCCTTAACGTTCACAATTTCCGTCTCTCCTGAGAAAACGTTAAATCAGTCTTTCAACACACGTGAATAATCTAATCAAGTAGGCTAAATTACTACAACTTTAAATAGAGGATTTGAATTAAGGAAAATAGGGAAAACAAGTAAGATTTGGGGAAAACTCTCTTTGTATAAAAATAACTTCACTCCAATGAATTAATTTATAAAGGGACTACATTTCTATTTATAGGCAAAATCCTATCAAGTGTCTTGGAATCAATGACCAAGATAAATCTTCGTCCAAGGGTCCTTATTGGATGCAAGTGACCTTAAATTTCCTAAGACCACGAGGAAGCAAAGTTGGAATTTTCTTCATGCAAGTGACATGTCTCTACAATTCCCACATGCACTAGACATGTCCCTTTCATAGTGACAAAATTGATTTTTGCTTCCTTGGCATTTTCTCTTGCAAGAGGCATAAGTGACCAACTTGAACTAGGTGTCCCAAAATATCCAATTTACAGTCCATGGCATTTCTCCCTAGAAAACCACTTTAATGTGATGGATAAACTACCCATGTCAGCCTATGTCATGCAGCCTGCAATCTGTGTGTTGTGGTGCTATCTGTGTCTTGACATGACTGCAGTCTGTGTCTGGCCATGTCCTGATTGCGTCCTGGGTGCTGCCTGCGTTGCAGCCGTGTCGCCATGCCTGCCGTACACCCGAATTTCCCAGATATGACTTGAGCTCGAACTTGCCACCATGAACATCAGTCATTTCCCCACCAATTTAGGTGACACCAGCATCGCCATATACCTTTGAAGCTTAGACCTAATTAACCATATGTCTACTTCATTTTCCCACTTAGTGCCATGACATCCTCGTGTCATCCTAGATCTCAAGTCATCACCTTGCGATTCGTCACACTCTCCCCCACCAAATCCGCAAACGTCCTCGTAGCGGAACGCATTTAGCACTTCATCATGCGCCTCACACCTTGCATTGTCCTCCCTGTCAATGGGTTTGAATGTTCTTTCTACTTGCGGTACCATCCCCTCGATGGACGGGAGTCCACAGTGCCCCATGCACCTCTTCCCGTTGCAACCTCTTACATGCCACGTTCGACACTTCACTCTCAACACCACTGCTGTAGTTCCTCGGCTGGATGACTCCTCCGGTCGTTCGACACCAACCTTCACCCTCAGCACCACTGCTGTAGTTCCTCGGCTGGATGACTCTTCCAGTCGTTCAACACCTTCCTTCACCCCTAGCGCCACGGCTTGGGTTCCTCGGAAGAACGACTCCTCCGGTCGTAGCGTCCCCACGCTTGTCGAATAGTTGAACATCAATGCTCCCTTTTTCGGAATCCTTGGACGATTATTCATGAGATTTGACACGGTCACCCATATTTGCAATGATTGGATCAAATTTGCCTTCCATGGAAATTGCTTCTCGAGTCTTACTCTTGCTCCATATTTTCCTTGCTTCAACTGGGGCAACACCACGACCCCTTTCCTCAATCTCAACAATTTGCTGTGAATCCGCCATGATAACAGCCTACCAACGAGGCTCTGATACCACCTGTCACGCAGCTAGTTTTCTTACACGTGTTCCCCAATGGTCACCAGTTCGAGTCCCCTCAGGGCCACTGAGGTGAGTACCCGGCCGTAAATTTCAGGGCCCCGTGGAATTAGTCGAGGTGCCCGCAAGCTGGCCCGGACATCCACGGTTATCAAAAAAAAAAAGTTTTCTTACACTCGAACAACTAGACACCGTGCAGACTTAACGTTCACAATTCTCATCCCTCTCGAGAAAACATTAAGTCAGTTTTTCAACACACACGAATAATCTAACCAAGTAGACTAAATTACTGCAACTTTGAATAGATGATTTGAAGTAAGGAAAATAGGGAAACAAGATTTGGGGAAAATTCTTTTGTATAAAAATAACTCTACTCCAACGAATTAATTTACAAAGGGACTATCTCTATTTATAGGCAAAATCCTAGCAAGTGTCTTGGAATCAATGGCCAAGATCAATCTTCATCCAAGGGTTCTCATTGGATGCAAGTGGCCTTAAACCTCCTAAGACCATGAGGAAGCAAATTTAGAATTTGCTTCATGCAAGTTGCGTGTCTCTACAATTCCTACATGCACTAGACATGTCCCTTTCACAGTGGCAAAATTGACTTTTGCTTCCTCTTTGGCATTTTCTCTTGCAAGAGGTATAAGTGACCAACTTGAACTAAATGTCCCAAAATATCCAGCTTACAGCCCATGGTATTTCTCCCTAGAAAACCACTTTGATGTGCTAGAAAAACTACCCATGTCATGCAACCTATAATCTGTGTGTTGCTGTACTGCATGTGTCCGACATGACTGCAGTCTGTGTCTGGCCATGTCCTGGTTGAGTCCTGGGAGCTGCAAGCAATCTGTCTGCGATGTAATGGGAGCTGCCTGCAATCTGCCTGCGATGACTGCCTGTGTCGCAGTGAATG